GGAATAGTGAAACAAAATGGTGGGGAAAAGATTAAAAAAAACCCAACAGCATGAAACCACACCAAAAAAACCACTAGTAACATTTATCATTGTCAAAAGAACAGCCTCTTCTGCTGACAATATAGAAAAAAAACCATGAAACCTCCAAAATAGTTTCTCAGAAAAACTACACCCTAGAAAATAGAATATATGCAAGATAATATTCAGACACTTCTCTTAAATCAGGTCTCAGATGACTACTAAATAGAATTAACTTAACCAGTCAAACATTAGGAAACTACTGGCCAAAATCACTTTATCATTATTTATAAGTTTTCTAATTGTGACTGAACTTAAAAGCAATGTTTAGCACTACAACAGATGTTCTGTCCACACTTTCAGTGAGCTATTTCTCTTAAGTCTCTCAAGGCCTCTTCAAGGCCTCAAAGTACAGCCATATAAACGCAGCACTTAAGAGTTTGCTCATGGCCGCAAACAAAATGAGCCTAAAACTCAATACTCATAGAAGTCTTAGGAAATCCTTAAAAGAGAGAGGCAGGAGTCTCCTGCCAGACACGGATAGCTCCTACAGGCTCCACTTTCCTAGGAGAGGCCTGCAGAGGGGAGAACATGTGGCACGCAGACAGCCCCGTTCCTTCCTCGTCCAGGGGAGGAGGGAAGACTCATTCAAACTCCGCAGCCAGCACCCGAGCAGGGCGCTCGCTGCGGACACAGACCCGCGGCCAGCCGGGCTGCGGAGAGGCACAGCCGGCCTGGCAGACCCGACCCCGGCGCGATGTGCGCCAGGCCCCCGGCGCCGCTTCACCCGCCCCTGCCGCTGCCGCCTGCCTCGGGCCGCACTCGCAGCTCCTCACACGCCTTCCCTCGCAGGGGCCGCCCTCACCGGGATGCCGCGGTCCGCCTGCCCCCCGCACAAGGGCGGCCGGGCCGCGCCAGGGGCGTGCGCGAGGAGGCGGCGCGGGCGGCCGCCCCAGGCCCGCTCCGAAGCGGCGGTCGGGCCGGCCGGGAAGGGCCGGGGCTCCTTCCCGCGCGGTGACCGAGCCTCAGGCCCCGCGGTGCCGCGACCTCCTCCTCCACCGTCCGCCCAGCCCCCGGCGCGGCCCGGGCGACGGCCCTCCCTCGGCCGCGCCGGCGCCCGGCGCTGCCCGGCGGCGCGGCCGGCACTCACCCGCTGGCGGCCCTGGTAGCCGCGCGCTGCTCAGCGCCGCGCTGCCGCCATGTTGGAGCTGGTGCGGCACGGACTGCGTCAGTGGCGGGCAGGGCGGGAGCGGCGGCGCGGGGGCGGCGCGCCGGGGCGGGCGGGGGAGTGCGGCGGCGGGAGCGGCGTTCTCCCGGCCCGGGCACGGTGCGGGGGCCGCGGGCAGCGACACAGCCCAGCCCGGCGGCGCGGGCCGCTCGCGAGGAGCCGGAGCGGCTGGGGGAGGGACTCCCGCCTCCTCGGCTCGTCAGCGGCGCCCCGCCCCTCCCGCGGCCCCGCCGCCGCAGGCCCGAGCGGGCGGCGCGGCGAGGAGCCGGAGCGGCGGAGCCGGCAGGTACGCGGGCTCTTTCTGGCCAATGTGCTCGAGTAGCGCTGGTCTGTCCCGCCGCTGAGCTCGCCAAATGGCCAGGGGTTGGTAAATGAACCGTCCTGCACGGTGATGGGAGCGCACAGGGTTCCTCCAGCAGTGCACCTCGCTAGGGCTTGTGGGGTATTAAAAAGGGAATTTCGGCCAGCTGTGCAAAAAACGAGTAACTGATAATAGTATCTCATATCCATGTATTGTAATTCAAAGTTAATGTATCTTAAAACTAAGGAATTATAGTTTATAACAATGCCTAACCTTCTAAATTAACTAAGACTGGCACTGATGTATCTATCTCCTTTGATAGGTTTTAATTCAAAGCAGTAGGCATTTGGGTCAGTAATCACATACATAGTGGGAAGTAATGGAAGTTATGTGACTGGTTGATGAGAAGTTTGTTAGAAGAAGAAAACCCAATTATCTCCTTACGGTTTTCTGAAAAAAAAAAAGAGAAACCCAAAACCGATTTAAAACGTGAAACTGACACCTGTGAGTTCTGAAATCCTGAAGAAGCAGATGAGTGAACATCTGCTCAAGAAATCAACACTGGCTTCAGCACAGCATGCTTTGTTAAGTCTTATTTCCTCCCCTATGTTTCCAATTTAAAATTTATCATCATTTAATCTAGCATTTTTAATTTGGCTTAGGCATTGTTTTATTTTATCCAACTGTACTTCACAAGCCAGAAGTGAAAAGTTCAGCATCTTGTAAATGAAAGATCTGTATGATTTACCGAAGTCTCCTTTATATGAACATGGAATTGTTTTCTGCTACAGTTTTTCTCTCAGATGCCTTGGAATTGTTATGTGAGTTTGCGCAAGGCTTGACATTCTTCAAAGAATTACTTTATGTGTCACCCTTTGAACTCACCTGACAGGGTTTGGGTCTCACTCTGTTACTTGCATGCCTGTGTAAACTGTAAATGGGATAATCTGGAATTTGTTAGCAAGATGATACAGAACCTGTCCAAATTATAAATTCCACCATTACAAAAATTGTAACTAATCCAGTTTAAAAAAATTCATGCTCTTTTTCTAAAATACCACAGACCTGTAATAAATAATTTAAGGTCTATTCTATTAGTTTGAGTGAGTTCCATAATCATAGGCATCCAATATATTTAGGAGGTGACAGACAAAAAACTAAAAACCCAAAACATTTGATAGACAGCTGCAATACAGCTGGTCAGAATTGGTCATGGTCATAGTTCTAGTTCTGTTTTTTGGATAAATGTAGAGCAATTTGAGATTGTTATCATTCTTTCTACATGTCTTTGCTGCTATCAATGGTGGTGAGAAAAGGTCCAGAAAGATGACCTGGAGCTATGCATATTCCACATAAGCAACATACTTGTTGCAAGATATGTTTTTGTCTCCCAAAACTCATTCATTTAAAATTTATTGTTGTTGCAAAGGATAAAAAAAAATGTAAAGTGAAATAACATTAATTGCAGTACAACAAAGCCTACTTCTTCAACTTTACCCTTCCGAACTTCAGTCCCTTTGTGCTTTTCCTAGGCAAGAAAGACATTTTCCCCCCTTCAGAATGAATTATTAAAACGTTGTTTTATTTCATATGCAATAGTCAGTATGAACTGACATTTTAATTATTATTTCTATTTCCTTTGGAAAGTCTTAACTGGCTGGACCTTTCCCTCTCCCCCTACGCTTCCTGGCAGCCCACGGGAAGTGCTGCGCCCGGGGCATGCGCGCGGTGAATGTCAGTGCGGGCGCGTGGAGCGCTGCGGCGGCAGCCGGCGTTTGGAGGGAGCGGTGTCCGGCTGCGGCTCGAAAACTGGTCCTGGGCAGAGGTAATCTGGGAGCTTCTCCTCGGATCCCGGTGCATCCCTGCGCTCGGTGCCTCCGGCCTCCCGGTGCCTGCCGCCCGCTCGGTGCCTCCCAGTGCATTCCTCCCGCTCGGCGCTTGCCGCTGCGTGCCGCCCGCCGGTGCCTGCGGCGCGCCGGGAGCGCCCCTCAGCGGCGCCCGCGGCCCCCGGCGGCCGGGCCGCGCCCCTCCTGCGGCGGCCCGGCGCTTGCCCCGCTCTGTCCGGGGCCCTCTGGGCAGAGCCCCGCGGCGGCGGAGCGGGCGGGCTCTCCGCGGGCGGCCCGGCGCTTGCCCCGCTCTGTCCGGGGCCCTCTGGGCAGAGCCCCGCGGCGGCGGAGCGGGCGGGCTCTCCGCGGGCGGCCCGGCGCTTGCCCCGCTCTGTCCGGGGCCCTCTGGGCAGAGCCCCGCGGCGGCGGAGCGGGCGGGCTCTCCGCGGGCGGTGCGGCGCTAGCGCGCCTACCCGGGGACAGGGCTGTTGTATTGCCCGCGGCCGGGCTCACGGGAATGGGGCCGCTCGGTGCCTGTCCTCCGCAAGCAGCTCTCTTAAGGCTTAGTTACTTAAATCTCTAGTAGTTCTTATCCTTGGGGAGTGGTGAGTGTCCACATTTTCTCCTTTTTGGGAGACTTCCTGGCTCGCTGTGTTTTGTAAAACAGTCTTGAAAGTGCTTATTGTGTTTCAACCCATAGAAAATAATTTTAAAGACCTTGTCCTTCTAGTGTGTGTTTTGGTAAAGTAGTACATCTTAGAAATAGTTCTTTAAGTAGATCCAAATTTCTCGTTTTACTCTATGTAATTGGATGCTTGAAAGCAGACAATGTTTTCTACTGATGAACTTTTTGAAAGATACTGGAATTTTCTATGATTTAAAAGTGTATAAAAGTTTGTGGTAAATCACTTGCATCTGCTCAATGGAATAGAGAAATATTTGGAAGCTTCTCGCAAGCTGTTTTTGACAGAAATCCTGGTTCTCCATCAGTAGGATGGGGAGTGCAATGTAGATTTACGTGGACACGTGGATTTACAGGAAACTGAGTTTGAAGGTGTTTGTATTTTCTTCAGGTATCTAGTTTATCCTGATTTCTAGCATCTTAGCTTGCCATTTCTGTAGGAAGTGAATTCTTTCTAAAGACAACTACCATATAGAAAAAATAAAAGCAATATCCAAAAGGGTAAAGCAAATAATTATTATAAAAAGTACTTAATATATAGTATGTGAAGAATTCATACCTTTTTTTTTGCATTCTTTTATTTTTAATAGGAAAGAAAATATTTCTTATTATAGCAGATCATAAATTAAAATTACTTCAGTTTAGCTTTGCTTGTATCTGTCCCAGTGTCAGTGACAGCAGTGTAGTGAAATATTCTGTATAGCTTTTTGTTCTAAGAAGAGGATTGTACAGATATCAAAGGAATTTCACCTTTCTGGATATCCATCTTTCTGGAATGATTTCAGTACCTTGCACAGGCTGCACAAATAAGGTTTTTTCTTCCTCAACAGACCTAGTGGGTATTGCTGCCATCATCTTGATAACATCGCACTGATGGAATCATGGCTACAGTTGAAGATCATTCAAGTTTGCTGAAGGTATTGATAATTTTAGTTGTTAATGATTATATCTTCTAAAGCAAAATTTCCAGATTTTTCCATGATCTTTAAGTTGAGGGAATTTGATGAAGCTTCTTTGTTGTACTAAGATTTTTATCACTGTAGTGGTTTGTGCACTCCAGCTTGGAATCAATTGTATAGGTTGTAGAATATGTAGTTGTTAGCACTCTGTACAAACTTGGGTATATTCTAAGAACACAAATGAATACTTAATACATTCATTGCATAAGGCTGAAACTTCTATTATAATTTGGAATCAGGTTGCTTCTCTTTAGTGCAATGGCAATTTCAGCTGATGGCATATGACTGATCAGTATCCTGAAATACAAAGGTGATCCTTCTTGACTAGAAGCCATCTGACTTCATTTTACCACCAGTAATTGTATTTTCTGGCAGTTCCTGGACCCCAGTTTGGGATTATGGCCTAGTGAGAGCAAGCCTCACTTAGTCATGCAGTGCTGGCATGTTAAAATCTTCAGCTTTCCTTCTCAGTAGTAGCACTGATAGCACGCACCTTTAAAGGCAGTTTTCTAAGTTTGAAAACTTACCAAGTGGACTAACTTCATAGTATTTGTGAGCATGTCAGTTGTGCATTGTTGGGAGCTTTTCTATGAGAAGAGTCCAGGCTGTAGGTTCTTCTTAAGTTTACCTTACTTAGAACATCATAATGTAGAGTCACTGATTTTTACTTTGTTGTGACTGAAATTAAGTGCTTTGATACTTTCTCTTTTCAGGTACTTCAGAATTGACTCCTTCTTAATACAGTGACCATACAGGACTAAAGAAAAATGGATTTCTGTTTTCCAAATACTTGGGTTTCTTGTGTGTAACAGCATGGTTTGCTGTGAAAAGTGAAACAAGAGTCTTTCTGGACAGTTGAAAGCTAGCTGGTAGGCATAGCAAAATGCTTTGTCTGAGGCAGGTTTGCTTGTTCACACTGAGATGTTACCAGGCTCGGACCCTGTGTAGTGATCTGCTTTTAAGCCAGATAAATGACTGCACCCATGAAGATGAAGTGTTCAGCCTTGTTGGAAGAAACAAGGCCAGGCTTTCTGAAAAGCATGTGGGAATTGCATTGAACATGCTGTGGCAATTGCAAAAAAAGAGGCCCTTTCTCTTAAGGACTAGTGACTATGTAAGAAATCACTCCCAGTTCCTTACCCTTTGCATTTTGGCAGAAAGCAAGGTGGAACACATGGAAGATGAGGTGATCGTGGACACCTTATATAGCCTACTGAGGTAAAGAGCATTAAATACATTTTGTATTTGGTAATAAAAAGAGAAGGAATTTTGAGTACAGAGCTATCTTATAAGGAGACTGTGATGAGACTGCCCTGCCACAGCTTCTGTACTCTTAACTGTGTGACACAGACAGCACAAAACTGTGCCTCAGTTTTGGAGGTACAGGCAGAACAGATCTGTTTTGCAGTCCCATTAAATATGTTTTATAATTATTATGAATTCTGATTATTCTTGCACAAATGTTTACAATCTGTTTGAATAGAGAGAATGATAGAAAAGTAAAACATTATGATAAATAATGAAAGGATGTATGTCTTATTTCTTTATCACTATTGAAATAAAGCACTGTCTTTATTTTGAAGGCTCAATGTTGAAGACCATGTTTCTCTAGCAAAAGTGCTTGTTACAGAAGCATGGAAAAGATTAGAAAGGCAAGTATTGTCCTGCTGTGCTTTGTGAAAGGTTTAAGTTGCAAGCATGATTTGCTTCATGTCAGGTTATGCAAGAGTTCTCAGAGTATTTATGTTTAAAACATAATATGAGTATTTTTAATGTCAGTTGTATTTTTTAAGGTTTTGAAAATTATACATACAGACTTCGGTACACAAATGCTTGAGAGATTCAGATACTGCAACAACAAGATCCAACATTTGAGATTTTGAAACATATTTTCTGTGTAGATTTATGTGATTGAAGTGAAATTGCAGGTTGCATATAAACAATTTTACCTCAGTGCTTTCTGTCCAGGTCCTACATGGTTATTAGAACCATGCTTATATAAATTTTTATAAAACCATTTTGTATTTAAACAGCAGCATTTTCCTTTGTGCATTTTGTTGTTGTGTTTTGCTGTCTTTTGATTTATTTCTGGAGGAGGGATAATATAGTTTTCATTCTTTAATCTTGGAGTAATGGCAGAACTGAGTGCCGGTCTTGGCACCAGTGTCACAGAATTGCCTCTTAATATGTGGAGCATCTTGAAAAATAAATACAATGTAGCTTGAAAATAAAATTATATTCAAGTAATAAATTGCTCACATTCATTTTATCCATTTGACATTATTGCCTGAGAATATAATCTTTATAGATTTCTTAGGCTGATTAAGTGAAGGACAACTAATTCTTGTAGAACTCCATATACACAACATGCTTTAATATCAAACACCTAGGTTTTTTTATTAGATACTTTGTTTCCTTGTTTTGTAATTTGACTGTAACCTTTTTATATAATTGTTAAAATAGAGTTTTGTCTTTAGTTATTGACTAGAAATAAAAGCTAGATATCCTGTCTGAATGTCTTTAATGTCTTGACAGGCTTAGTTTGCCTGCTCTGTCTAAATTCGCTCTGTGCTTATACAAGCAACACAGGCACTTCAGTCCCATAATTGGCCAAGTAGCTCATATTGTGGACATGAAACTGGAGTCTATACAGGATATAAGGTAAGTGTCAGAAGCAGAAGAAGCAAAATGTTGCAATTACTGGTCTGTCTTTTCTGAAGACTTTCCCTTTTTCTCACCTGAAGTTTACTTTGCTTCAGTTGGGGGTTTGTGGGAAAGAAGTGTTTTGTATTTGTGCATTGATTGACAAGAGAATGCATTTTCCCAATGACTTCACAAAGAATTTCCTTATAACCTGTCTAAATGATTGAAAATACAGCTTGATTGTTTAGTTTATAGAACTATAATTAATTTCCACTGTTCTGCTTACAGTACAGCAGATAATTACAATCAGCGTTATCCTGATCCTAAACATGGACTTTTTTGTTAATTTAGAGTCTATTGACTCACCAGAATATGCTTTTGTCCCTTTTTTCTCCCTTGGCATACATAGTTTCTCTACCATGACATGTCTTTGTTAACAGCAGTAAGGGGTTTTAAAGCAATATTGTGTTTATTTATCTTCAGAGCATTGTTTTTTCTGGTCAAGTTGAATTAATAAATTCTCTTGTTAGCATGTCTAGCACATTACCTTAATATTTAAGCTACTTTAAACAGCTCTAGTCAAAGAAGACCAAGCTCATTTTTTTTCTTGTTTTTGTTGCCCTGGGGCTGCTACAGCAAAGGCTTCTTTTTCTTTTTTCTGCTTTATATAGCGTCAGCAGTCCCAACACTGATTTTTTCAGATGTGAGGAGCCTGCTTATTAAACTTCTTGAACAGGACTGCATTTCTTTACTGAAATCACTTTCTCTGTGGTAATAAGTTTTATTCCCTTAGGAAGGGATTCTTTCTTTAGGAGTGACAATGACTTTTCTCCCTATCCTGTCATTTGTGAGTTGTTTGGGCTTCTTTAGTGTCTGTTGAACATTAAAGATATTTTTGCAAATATGAATCAGGCAAATTAGGGTCTTGCCTTAGGCAAATGCTTTTATCATATGTAACTTTGTAAGAGGTGGCTGAAATTTTTGAAAAATTTCAAAAGTTCACTGAAAGCAGAATTTTTACTTTAGTAGGATAAATGGTTTTTACACATCCATGTTTTCTGGATTAGATTTAAAATGCTTTTTGCACAGAAGCCAACAACACCTCAACTACCATTCCTTTCTTTGTGCACTTCATTTAATAAATATAAAATGTATTGCTTATTATGTTCAACGTGTAAATAGGAAACCTTTTGAATTTTTTAGGATCTTGTCAGTTTTGATGATCAGCATATCTGAAGTTATCACAGAGAGTTTTCGAGATCGATTACTACACAAGGCTGAACAGCTCTTAGAAGAAGAGCATGAGGTCCACTTCAACTATGCCAGAAGAATACTTCAGTTTCTCCAAAATGTTAAACTGAGATATCATCCGGTGCTAGAAAAATGCAACAGGATTTTCCTTGAAAGTGCCTCCCATCTTGATATACACAGTATTAGTCATATTTTTGGACTGTATGAACAGCTGGGTTTTGACAATGCTGAATTTCGCTTGATTGCTAAACAGCTGCTATCTGAAACTATAGACAATTATTATGATCCTGAAACATTTACAAAATTATTTTTTTCTCTTGGGCCTATGGCAGGATCCAAGGTTAGAGAAAGGTAAGTTTATTAATAATTTTGTCTTATTTATGATACATGCATTCTTACACAGAAATTTAAAATGTACCAGTGTTTGGAGGAATTTGTGAGTCCATCTTTGAGCTGAGTCTTAGGTTTCCTAGTTGTAATGTTGTAGCAATGGATGATTTCATAATGGAAACACTGTCAAAGGAGTGTGTTTTATTAAGAAGTTGAATCAGATCCATCATTCAAGGTGGGTGTGAATGCTGTTATGTAAGGCCATCCTGTAGCTCTTTCTCTTAGACTACATCCTTCCTTTCACACTGGGTGGTAGTAAAAACCTTTCTGTCTTTCTCCTGAGAAATATATGCAGTGATATGTGTTGCTTTTTCCTTTTTAAGACTGTCAGTAGCTGAAAAAGCCTGAGTCTTGTCCTATACTAGATTGCTGACATCCTATTCTTTATGAAAGATCGTCATCAGGGAACACTTCAGCATTTATTTAGAGCATAGTATTGTGTGACAGATATTTTTTTTCCTCTGCCTGTTTTTCTTGCTCCACAGAATCCTATTTGGGTGTGATATTACTCATGGGTCTCTCAAAGCCTGCAGTTTAAGGCAGAATTTTCTGTATTAATTACAATGAATCGTATTTTCATACTTCTCTTCATGAACATTTTCTTTATTTAGAATTTTGGACATGCTGCAAGCCTGTATTGGTTTTGCCATAGCTGATTTAGTCCCAAAAGTTTTTCTTAATTATTTTTTTTAAATTTATATTGTGTGTGAGAAACATTGTCTTTAATTATCACAGAACCAGTTCAGTTCATATTTGATTCTGTTATCTGTAGCTCGCTGATCGACCATGAATTGTTTTGTGTTTTAGAGTACCTTCCCTACTTCTTATCTACTTTTAGAATTGTTAGTTTTTTAACATCAGGACACTATGCACTGGTGCAACACCCTATATCTCACACCCTGTATCTGTCTATCTGTGCTAGACAGACCAACTCCTTAGAAGTCCACAGAACAAAAGTCTCTAGTTTGGGAGAATTTTGCTTCCAGAAATAGTCTTTGTTTCTTTTCCTCATAGGTAAATAAAATGGCTTCAAAGTTTGCCAGAGATTTTAAACTGTTTTTCATTGGAAAATATGTATTTTCCTCTTTAGGTTGCTGGTAACTGCAGTAAACATGGCAGAGGAATTTAGCAGTCATCAAGTTTTGATGATACTGAAGACTATGCGGAAAATGAAATGCAGAAATTCTCATCTACTCAAAAAGTAATATTTTTGATACTACTAAGAAGTTGTATTCTCTAGGTAAATTTCCATTTAAGGTGGAAAACTATGACATATCCAGTAAGTTAGGAGCTGTGGGTGTATCACTTGCACACAGGTGCTTATACACTAAGTTATTGGCTATTACAGATTCTGGAATATTGCAGCTTGACCCAGAAGTAACTAAAGCAATTTGGGAATTTCAAAGAAAGGCATTTCACCCTTACCTAGTTACTGTCATATAGTATCTGTCTAATTTACAAATATGTGGTCCTATTGCACTAAACTTAGCCTCTAACAATTGCTGTAAACTCATGAGAGTGCAAATGAAATGTGGTAAGTTGCAGAGAATGTGTCCTGTCTTGGAGATGAACATGTAGCATTAAATATGTCAGAGATACTGCAGAGTGAAGTGCAGGTTGTGAACGGGTATTGGATTGAAGGTACTTGTATGAATCAAATAGATCCTTGAAAGAAAAAGGACATACTTGTGTCCTGTGGCACAAAGGGATACTAAAAGGAAGATCAGGTGAAATAATGCCTTTTCTTCCTGAGTCTCACTGTCTAAAGAAGGTGTTTAGGTATTATGTTTCCCTACAAATCTATCCGTCTCTGCAGCTTTAGACCAACACAGCTGTAGCAACTACTGTTCTGTGAGTGTTGTGGTGCTGAATCTGCTGGTGCTGTTCTAGTTTATGTTCTTGGTCCACTCTAAATGTAACCAATTGTGAAATCTGCAACAGAAATTAGTAGTGTGAGGTAGCTGATTTGTTGTGATGAGGACTTTAATTTGCAGTTCAGTAAGTGGAGAGAGGCTGCTCCAAGTGGAATAACTTCAAAATTAGTATGGAGATGAGTGCAGGTGTGTAAAACCTCCACATAGGTACTGTACACCACAAGATACCTCTATTTCATGTGGCATGTTGGAGTTTGCAGTATCTTTTGTATTAGCTTAATACCATGTAATCTTTTCCTTTTTGTATTCAGAATGGCTTCTGTTCTGCACAAACACTTGGATAGCTATCATGTATTGCAGTTGGTAAAGTTGACACAGTACTTGGTGGTGTTGCGTTGCCAGGATCTGGAGCTGTTTGCCAAACTAAAAATGTTACTATTAGGGTAAGTGTGTATTCTTGGAAAAGTAGCTATTTGAGTTTCAAACAGTTCTCTACTTAAGATTTTAAGTATCAGTCTAAGATGTTTGTGTTTTGTTCCCATAAAATACAAAGAAGTAACAAACTGTTACAAATATTTGATTCTATTAAACATGTAAATCAGATGATGGAAAAGTAGGTATTGTCTTGGCTATAAACTCAACAGTATCTGCTAATATATATGTTACTTTTAAAGAATTTTTTCCCTTTTTCTTTTGACCACTGTATTGTAATGATATTGAAATGGCAATAAATTTTGATTGGTATTTGATAGGATGGCTAGATATTAATCTTGTATTTGATGTTTGACAGAAGAAGTAATGAAAAAGAGACAGAATGCCTTGGTTGGGACAAGTGAAAGTGTGACACAGAAGTACTCTTTTGATTGAAGAACTGTCCAGTTAGTTCTTAGGCTTGTACAGAACAACAGAAAATTGCCAGACAAGAGATCTTGCTTTCATTGCTCAGCCTTTGTGGGAATGTAATGCCTTGGCTGTACATTTTTTTTTTGGTGGATGATGTCTTCGTGTTCCTCAGACTCCTCAAAACCTGGTGCTCCCTAGGACTGAAATCACAGAAATTAACCCACAGATAACTCACAGGCCCATAAACCCACAAGTAAGTTTGACAAATGTGGACCTTCTGGCCTTACTAAGAACTTCTGTGTTTATCAGTAGCAGGTGGAGTCTCACCAGCTGACTGTGTTGCTCACTGTCTTCTTCCCCTTCTTGCATTTTGAATAAAATGAAGGAAGAAGTTAATCTCACTGAAAAAAAAATATGTGCGTATTTCTGCCAAGTCATTAATATTCTGCTTATTTTATATTTGATGTGCAGCTTTTGAGTTCCAAATTAGAAGTTTCAAGCATATTTTTGTTTTGCTTAAATATTTGCATTTTGTCACGACTGATGGACTTTTTATTTCTCTCTTCCAGTTACTTAAAATCTAGTGTGATACCTGCCGATACTGCAGCCATAATTCGTGTTCTGGCCATGCTTCCTTCTTTCCAAATGGAGGAAATGATTATAAACAAAGCAGCAGCAGTTTTGCCTCAGTGCAGACTCCATCATTTGAATTGCATTGCTACAGCTTTTGTCAAGTGGCATCATCATGGCCAGTTGCACTGGCAAAACAGTTCTGAGCTATGTGCCAAGCTTCTGCAAAAATTAAATGACTGTGGATTTCAGAGGCTTCAGAAAACCAACAACTTAAATCTTCTGTTGGAAGAACTTCCATATGTGAATGGAGAGTGGTTTGAAGAAGTCCTGAATGAGGAAGCTCTGGCCATGTGTCAGCACTTGATAGATCAAATAACATGGGAAAATGTTTTACCCTTGTCTTTTTTTCTCATAAAATCAGAGCACCGTTGTCCTGCATTGTTTGACAGAATAGCATCTGTGACTGTTGAAAATATAGACAAGGTGCCCCTGTTTTTCTTTCTATCTACTGTGAGTTATTCAGTAAGAAAGGACATGTTAGTAGCTGATGTGTTTCAGAGCACAATCCACACATGTTTTTAAGGGTTTTCTTCAGTGTAGCTGATTTGGAGATCATCTTTTTTGTGCTTACTTAAAGTTGTTCTACTTCTATATGTATAAATTAGCACTTACCATTAATTTTAATTTCTTTTTTATTGTTCACTCAGTGTTAGGTCAGCCATAATTGTTTACATTCAACTTTACATTTGACCATCTTAATTTTTTTTAAACTTCTTGATAAATAGTCACATCACATGGTGGATATGTTAACAGTATTAATTGTTGTGGGGATTTCCCCAATAGCCTGTCTGTTTGGTCAAAATTACTCTTTTTTTCTATTTTTTTTCTCATTCTCAATCTGGTGTTCATATAAATCTTCAATTTTATTCTGTTGCAGTTTAGTTTCTTTAAGAACATTTAATGCAAAACCTTCTTAAAAGGTTCTTTAAGTGTATAGAAACACTTGGATCACCAAGATGAAATAAATTTGAAGTTTTAGTTGTGGCTGCAATTCCAACAATTTTATTTTATTATTATTTTCTCCAGGAAAAGTTGACCAAAGGAAAAAAAAAATCTCCAGGAAATGTTGACCAAAGAAAATAGTTCACCTACTCCTAAATCCCAAATTCTGGATGAATTATAAAGCTGTTCTTTATTATAAAGCAATATTATGATATTTTGCAGTAACTTGATTTAGGATGTCTTTTTTTTCAGATTCCCACCTCTGAAATCTATTTTATTGTCTTCCTTTTCTCTGCTTTAAATTATGACCCTCCTGACAATGAAGAATTCTTTAAGAGTTGTATCCAACATCTTACTTCTAACTTGAGTAAGTGCAATAGACAAATATTTTTACTGAATGAAAATGGGAATAGAAGGGTACTTTTGTTAAGCAAAGAAAAGGTAAGTATGCTACTACGAATACTCTGCTACTGGGGTTAAACCATGACAAATATTCACTTTTGAGTTTTGTTTCACCTGTTAAATATGACTGTTAATAAGAGACTAGCAAAAGATTTCTTGGCACAGTAAAATGTAAGTGAAAAATCTGATTAATTCACTGTGCTGTTATTGGATAGAATCGTTGTGTTCCCCAAGGAATCATCATTTGGGAACAGGATACGTTTTGTAATTCATGACAAATAAATAGTTAAAATTGTAGAGGAAGTGTGTGTGGATTTGTGTTGTACATTAAGAGGGAAAATCAGATGATTTGAGAGGCCAGGGAAAGGGCATTGCAAATCCTTTCAACTTTGTCATGTGTTAATATGGGTTTCTCTCTGGTTTTTGAAGGTCATCTTGAAACTTATCACTTGGTACTGCTCAGTCATGTTTTGGCAATGGCTGGGTATTTTCCTCCAGTTCTGATAACGACGATATTTAATGTCTCTTTCCTACGCAAACTGGATGCTCAACTTAAAGGTAGCTATCTAGCTTTTGATGAATTTGATTGTGTAGCATTTGGCATAAAATGCTATTTGGACTTACATATGACTTGAGATATTGAATTACTCTTTAAATTATTCTGCTTTTGGGAAAGACACCCTCTTTATAATATAGTCATAGTTGGAGTGCTAAAAGGGCAGGAATGAACAAAAATATGTTCTTTGTTTTAGAAGTACAGACCTGTATTGCAGATGAGAGTAAGTAATATAAAGCGAATTTTATAGTCAACTTATTGCACTCAGTATTTAATAATTTTTCAATTTTATTGGAAATAAAATTACCTGTCTGTGGTGTTTATTACTAGAAGTATCATAAAGCTGAAGGAAAAATGTGGGATTCTTGCTGTATCCTACCTGTCTCTTCTCTCCAAATAAGAAGCTGAGTGTTTGACTGTTTAATTCCTCTCTACCTCTACGTTGTTCATTATCAATGTACTCTTGCCATTTTGCCCTCAACTACTTAATTAAATTTACACAATAGAAGCAATTTCTGTCTTCTCTCTTGCTGTTGTTCTTAATGTTGAGCAGAACTATTTTTTTTTTAGTTTATTTTCTCAGAGATTTTGAGAACCTTTCTAAAATTCTGCAGCATGAGTTATATAAATGCCATAGTGTACAGATATTTGCATTTCTAATATAAAATTCAGAGGTTACCATAGTTCAATTTGCTGTATTTTTCACATTTCAGTTCACACATTTCTATGTTGTTTTATTTTGGTTTTTTGGGTTTTTTAAAATCAGTCCTGCCTGATACAATGAAGCAGAGGGTCCACTCGAGCCTCATGAAATTGAACAGAGCAGTCTGTCTGGAATGCCCAGAGTTTCACGTCCCTTGGTTTCATGAGCCATACTGCCAACGTGTCTTTCATAACAGTAAGTAATTAAGGACAGGAAAAAACTGCTCTTGTTACTCACAATAGTCTTATTTTTTTAGAAACTGTCATACTGACACTAGCGCAAAATAGAAGGCACACCCCTCTCTGCTGAGCATTTAGTTGTGCAACCACTTAGTAGTGCAACTGGGAGCAAACTGGTTTTCCTTGTGAGAATTAATGTAGTAGAGATGGGATATTTCTGAAGAAGAATTAAAATTTAAATACACAACAACAGTGTATATGGCATGAAGAATGGAAAGGCAGGAAGATGATCATTTGTATTGGAGGAGATGGGTCATTTTGCTCCCTGCTTCACTTACAAAACTGAACATTTGACTTAAATTTTTTAAGGTAAACATTTTTACTGCCTCCTTTTGAACTTGATCCTCCCTTCTTCCTCACAAGAATCAAGATCCATCAGGGATGAGAGATAGAGAAGTAGGCTAGTGATCAAGTGTAGCAGCTGAGATCTTTCAGAATAGTGATCAATTCAGAATCCATCTAATGCAAACATGGTATCTCCTCCACTAATTGTCATGGGGAGATCTGCTGTGCTACCTACAGAACTCAACTACTTTTTCTCTCAGACTGAAGATGTTGAATGAAGCATGGTGTTAATCTGCAATGGGCAGAGAAGTGGCAGATAGTGTGGTATGGCTGTAATAAACCCATGGTGAGTAAATACATGTCTAAACATAACTAAAAGCAAACAAAATCCAGCAGGTGAAACCTAAAACTTGAGGTTTTGTAGTATGTGAATGAAAAAACCCTGGGTTCTCTAAAGTCTGGATTTGAAATTTACTTAATAGCATGCACCTGCCACTTTCTTGCTAAAATATGATCACTTGTCTCTGAATTATGATGGAATAGGACTTGGGATTTGTAGAAAAGATTTAGTTCAGTAGCCTGGCTGTCAAAAATACAATGTCTCAAGGCACTATTTTCAGAATTTTGGCTGTGGAAGTTTTGATGTATGTATTCTTTATTTCCTCTTTGTAGGCATGAGCCAAGTAAGTCCACAGCGACAGCATATTCACAGAATGCTGACAGAGATCTTAGGAGGAAGCCATTTCTCAAGAATATCTGTTCTCACACCATACTACTATGAAATAGGTGAAGAGTTAATACTCTAAAAATTGTTATGGAGTCCTTTCATATCACTCTTATTACTAAGATTAGGAAGCTCCTGGTCATATGGCCCCAAAATAACATGAGATATTGCAAAGAATAAATTGTTGTTTAAAATACAGCTTCCAAAATGTTTTTTATAGTATAAATAATGTTGTATATCTCTAATTATGGCTATCAGTTTTTCTAAAAGTAAACATTGTACAGATCAAATTCTTTCATTTTTATTTGTCATCAAACAGGTTTGTTTTGTTTTCTGGCAGATTTTGAGTGTGTCCTGGATGTAAATAAAAAGCCTCTTTCCTATATGGCACAGAATATAGCTTTGGGTGAAATGGGGGGAATACACTTGAGACATGACATCAAGGAGAAAGGGAGAAAGGCCCTGCCACCAGGAGCTCAAAGGTCAGTACATTGAATTCTTGTACATTAGCTCTTCCAAGCTTACATCCAGTTTGGACCAGGTTTTTGATGCTCATGTCCTAATGTTCCTAATTAGACTTTTTCCAAAGTCTAATGAGGTTTAGCCTTCTGGGGTGTGGTGGGTTAGCCACAGCTGCTCCCTCCCATTTGTATGGCATGGCTCATGGCCCTGCAGTGTGATGGGGGAGAGAACGTGGAGGGTAACAGCAAGGAAGAAAACTCCTGGGTTGCAATTAAGATATTTTAGTAAGTGGAGGGGGGGGAAAAATAGGGGAAGGGAGAAACAAAGTAATCAATGGCCATGCAGTCAGTCACCTACAGCAGACCTGTGCCAGAGCAATGGCTGTGTGGGAAAAAATCCCCTCTGCTTTACTGCTGAGCATGATATTGTATGGTGTGAAATACCACTTCAGGCAGCTGAGGTTCCTTCCCAGCTGTGTCCCGTCCAACCTCTTGTCAATGCAGCCTGTATGCACTGTGGGTGCAGAGAGAGAAACAGGGAAGGCCTTGATATTGTGCAAGTGCTTTTCAGCAGTAGCCAAGATATCAGTGTGTTTTTGACAGGTCTGGTCACAAGTTCAAAACACAGCATCAAATGAACTGGTATAAAGAAAAGTACCTCCATCCCAGCCAAACCCAGTACAGGTTATTGATATGTGTTTCATGAGATTGGAATACTGTTTTCCTCCCACCTTTTCCAATGCAAGCCTTGAAAATGCTGGTTAGCTGTTTTTACCATTGAAACAAAAACAGATGCAGGGAGAAAATGCTTTTTCGGAATTCAAGTATCTCTAGATAAATAGGAGGAAAATGTTTTGTCTAATTCCAGGGAGTTGTTTAATTTTGGTTTTCTGAGAATTGTCAGGTTTATCTAGTCTTGCTGTAACTATTAATAGACCTGGAAGTAAATGCACATTTTTACTGTTTGCAGAATTGCTTTGGAATTTCTTGATTCAAAAGCTTTTAGCAAAGATTATTCACGTCATCTGAAAGGAGAACCTGCAGTGAAAAAGCGACACCTGGAAATGCTGGGGTACCAGGTTGTTCAGGTGAGCAGTCAGCAATACTTTGTGTTCTTTCTGAATTGCATCAGCAGTACAAAATGATCCTTTTTCCTCTCAACAGATTTAGAAACAGTTTTATTGTTAAAAGCACCTACTGGGAGAGAGCAATTTTTGTAGTTAGGGGGGAAACTCTAAGCTGTTCTTAAGATGGTGTAAGGACTTCACACATCTCACACCTTCTCTGAAAGAGGGTGAAGCAAAACTGAAGTCAAAAAGTCCCAGTCTGACCTTACTGCAAGCAAACTAGCAATCTCAGTGTAGCCTCAGTAAAGGAGAAAAAGTCAAATGAGTGTTTCAGTTCAATTCACGGAAGATTTATATGGTAGAAAAAGATTGAACATGCTCTTCTTGAATGATAAGACAATTTGGCAGCTGCCAGATGGGATATGGATGCTGTTTGTCTGATGCAATGATAGTGCTGTGACAGGGAACACTAGAGGCCAGACATAATTCACTATCAGCACTGTAACATTTGGGAATTGGAGACTCATTAATGCAGAGGTTCCTATATATTTAATTACTCACCTAACCTAATTTTAGCTAGAATCCTTCTTTTAGCTTAAGTTTTGTTGGTTTGGGCTTTTTTAAACAGAATAATCATCCTTTTTCATGTTATACCACTGATACCCCATTCCAGTCTGCTACATTAGCATTACAAACTACCGTGACCTGGGATTTTTCTGTCAATTTGGGTTTTAAAAGAGGGGAGGGTGTAATGGAGTTGTCACAGTCTATATTGTGTGGGCATGTCTTTCATATCTCTGCAACTATGCTGCTTTTTGGAACCAGACTGACTGTACTTACATAAAGGAGAATAACAAATTGATCTTTTCAGTATGAGAGTAAGCCAGGCTTTTGGGAGGACACAGGTGGCAAATATCTTCAAGTGAAGAACAACATATATTGGAGATATATGTTTTCTTGGCTCTTATGTTGTATGTGGCTTATACCAATGTTAAAAATCAGTTTGTACCATTCTGTTCCACAGATTCCTCACTTTGAATGGAATTCTATGGTTCTGTCAACAAAAGGTGAACAGCTGGAATACCTGAGACAGCAGCTGTATGGAATACAGTGATATCAGACATGCAGTCTAAAGTGCTTTTATAAAAACAGTTTATGTACCATCAAATGTCTCATAATCCTGGAATATTTAAGTTTCAAAAATCTATCTGTATCAGTTGGGTCAAGGCATGCTAAGGTCATCAGATATAAAGAGATGTAATCCTCATTTCGTTAGGGATTGCAAAAGGCAGGTCAGAGTGGGCTGTGAAGTTGTGATAAGGATGCTTAAAATTTCTCATTATCTGGAAGCTATTACAAACATATGAACCTGGCAGTTTTGCAATCAAATTACATTATTATTTCCTAAATAGATAGCACAGAGGGCTAGCCAAACATAAAACTCCATGGAAAAAGTTGGAAATACTATTGACTAGGAGAGTGGAGGAGTCAGCAATCTACTGGAAACTATGTCTGTCCTCCAGCATGTGACAGAATGAACAGTTAGGAATCAAACAGTATCTGTACTCTGAAACCAAGAAACTGAAATACAGATTTTTCTAAGAATAAGGCTGCTTTTAGAGCCATTCAGTTTCCATTCTCAGAACAGAGGTACTGTGGGGGACTGTGCTGGGGGAGAGTGTTGCGTGGTGAGGAACCTCCAGCTGCTTCTCCTACCCTGTGATCTGGTGTGTGCCGAAGAATGACTGAGACTCCTGGAACACCTTCACATACTGGAAAATCCAGCCAGGGTTTGTGCAGGAGGTATAAGACACTGAGATGTAGAAGGAGGAAGTGGAATAGCCAGGAGAATGTTCATTGTAGAGCAATAATTGCAGGGGCGTCATGCTTGACTAATGATCCCATTTCCAGAGGCAGCCACGTTGTACCTACAGCTGCCATCACCAGAGGGTGACTGACAGCTCTGCAGGTTTTCTCACATGTGCAATGTTGCTTATTTAGTAGGAACAGGACACATTCTTTTACCACTTCACCTGAAACTTGGCAGAGATAAGTAACTGCATATCTGAATTGGCCATTATGCACCTGGCTGTCACCTCTTTTTTTACTACTCAGTAGCAGAAGAAAAATGCTTTATTAACTGAATGCAAATCAGGACAGGAATGGAAAGTCAAGAAAAACCAACAGAACTGATCTAAGCTGCAAGGTACTTTCCTCCTGAGGCAGCCCTCGTGTTTGTGGGATGACTGACAAAACTAGTAGTCTAGATGGTAGTCTAGACTCTTACGGTTATCAAATTAACAATGTCTTCAAGATGTAATGACTGCTTTGAGGAAAGGTCATTGAAGGCACAGCACATAGATTCTGTGTGCGTTATATTTTGTATAAAATGGAGAAGACAATCATAAATGTAGGTTAGTATTTCAGGTGGACTACCTATCAAAGAGGTCTCACATGACTCTGCTTCTGTACAGACAGCCTTCAAGTAACAGCCTCAGAGTGTAAGAAAGGCAGCAGTGGCTGAAGTTATCAGTCAGGATGATTGTGTTTGAGCTGAACCCTGCTTTTCAGGGTTCTAGCAGTCACTGTACCAAGCCAGTTTACTTCAAATTATGTATGGATAAAGTTATGAGTATGCACAATGGGAAGAGGATTAAAACTTGTTATGAGTGCTCCAGAAAGGGCATTGAAGAAAAAAAAAAAAAAAAGCAATTCAGTAAAATGTGTTGTTCTTAATTCTTTGCACTTATTTTTCTATATTAAATCAGCAAGTGTTAGAGCAGATGAGTGGTGTAAACCAGTGATCTAACAAGCCAATAAAAATAGATGGTAAGCGCAGCTGCAGATTTGGGTACTAAAGGAAAAATGCCCCACAGATTAAGTACTAGTGGGCAGTAACATACTGAAATGAACTATGATGGCTGTGCCTCTGCATATGTTCTTTCTCAAAGGAGAGCAATGCAAGAGATCATTTGATAGTTGGCATTGCTATTCAATCAGATGTGGTGGCCTTCTTTTCCAGTTTAGATTGAAATTTATGAAATTCTTTAGATTGATGACACCCTCTTCATGCAATGGAGAAATTCTTTGAAGAGATACTCAACAAAGAAATGGTAAGCAAGCTCTAAAGGAAACTGAGTGCTCTATTTTGGGCAAAGGCTGTACTAAGAGATCTGTCAATATGATAGTGATGATGAGCTAATCACTAAAAAAAGACGCCATCAAGTGATACTTCTATAGTTTTAAAAACAAAGTTTAATTGTTAAAAGTTTCAACGTCAAAATGCATCAACTCTATAGTAAATGAAAAAGTCCTCTCTGTCACAGATATTTGCTAAAGATAGTTATTTAGGACTTTTTCATGAACGCTTGTTATTGGCCTCAGATCTCTAAGAAAAACTTCCATAAAATATTTGCTTTGGAAATAAATATAAAAGCATTAAAAAAGTGGAAAATCCTTGTTATCAGAAGTCTAAACATAGTAGGTAAAATAGTAGAGCCACTAACTTGATTAATTTCTCTCTCTACCCTCTCCTCTGTTTACTAGTATAGCTTTGGCTGAGACTGGCATTTAGTAGGCCACATATTATTAAGCCACTTTTGTTTAAAACATTAATTTAAATTCCAAGCTAAATTATTTTTTTGAGGTCTGTGATGAGAATATTTCCAAGATATTGCTGAAGAGTGAAGGATTTACATACATTACTAAAAGGGGAAATCTGGCCATATAAACAGCCAGTTAGAATAGAATGAGCTACCTATTAGTTGTATTTAACTTAACAATTAATTCATGCACATTGTTTAGAGGACAAGCCACCAATACCTGGATTGTATGGGGTGCAAGGAAAGTTAACTAGTGTTGTTTGCAATTTCACAGAGTGGAAAATTGAGTTCTTGCCAAAATCTTAATCTAATCAACATTAATTATAACCCTTTAGAAGTTTAAACACTGGCTTCAGTGGTTGCTGGTTAGCTAGAAAGTATCTTAAGAAGTGGACAGACAAATTAACTATTTAACAGTTCCCAGTATGACTAGTATGATGCTATAAAACTGTACAATTTGGGGACATTTTCATGCAACAAAACCAGAAGAGCTATCAAAACTCCCTCACCATATCATATCTTCCAGCATTTTGTTTACAGTTTTGATAACTTGAAGAGGTTTAAGCGTGTGGCCAGGCAGGAGGCTCCAGTAGCATATCGAATCTCTTTCAGTATGCCAACCCATTCTTTCTTCTCATCATCGTATCTGCATTTAAAAAAAAGTTAGGAAATAGCTTCTTTAAATTTAAGTTTGATGCTTCAGCACACATACATGAAAAGGAGGACAGTCCACCTGTTGCAAAGGCTTGTAGCAACCATGTGCTGAAGGGTGCCACAAAACTAAAGCTTCTGAATTTACATAAGCAACTAAGAATCGCAGCAGAGATATGATGTCTCATCAGTGTTGCTGTGATTAGCTCAAAAAACCCCTAGAAGATAGGGACTTCTGATTCTCTTAGAACAGTTACTCATTTGACCATCAACACATCATTATGTACAGGTCTCTATATATGCATGCTTTTCTGCATCACAGTGTTACAAAAGAATGCTTTTATTGGCCAGGCTAAACCTGCCAAGAGATGGCAATTTACTCTTCTAAAGAAGTGGAAGATCAGGACTTGGACTGGTCAAATAATTAGTAGGTGGAAGTAATCATTAGATCCAGGTCTCATGTTTATTTGCTACTTTCTGACAAACTGTTTTATCTGTCAACAAATGCTTTACAGCCTGTGCTATGGATAATTTTCAGAATTAAACAGAAAAATAGTCTTAGCCTCCAGTGTCTACAAACCTCAATTTTAGATAAGACTTTTGATCAGGAAAGAGTGAATAAAATTAAACTTACTTCCATATGTCAGTGACTTCACTAGGTGCAAATTCTTTAGATTCAAGCTGAATCATTGCAAAACCTCCAATAGCATACAAAGCTCCACTTAAAGTGACTAAACTAATGGAACTTCTCTCTTGGGGAAATTCAGGCATTATCTCCCATCTAAGAATCAAAAGAAAAAGTCAAGTTAAATATATAAGAAATATTGTAAACTGAATGCACTAAAATACTTCTCTGGGCAACAAATTCAGGTACCAAGACCATGGTTTAGTAAAAGGAAAAAATTCTGAGATTTATAAGCAGTTAGTTCCAGTGTCTCCATCCTGTCAGGGACTTGTGCAACTCATAAGGGACACAATTACACTGTTACCTCTTCTTAGGGACAACTTACAGATTCCCTGATTGTTTATTGTTCATATGCTTCATACAGATATATTGTTCCTCAGTTATTCTCATTTCTCCCTACAGTTTCCAAAATGCATATTTATTTCAGATGGCATTAATGTAATAATTGGAGTGTGTTGGGTGTAGGAAAAACATCTAGAGACCTGCTCTGTAAACCGCTGCTGTTTCTGCTGAAGATGTGACTGCACACCAAATGTGTCAGTGGCAGTATAGGTACCTGAACAGCTTTGTGACTCTTACCTCAGGGCTCCTCAAAGCCTAGATGATAAAACACTTGGTTAAAATAGGTTGAATATTTCACTCACTTATTGGTGGTCAGATCAAAAGCTTCAACAGATGCAGTAAGGCCTTCCTCAGTGACACCACCTGCAATGACAATCTTGCCCTTATGGATGGCTGTTCCAAACATCGAACGAGGTACTTTCATTGGAGCCAGATCTCTCCAGTCTCCTTTCTTGGGATTGTACACGAATAATCTATTAGTGCATTTCCTGGGGAGCAAAAAGAAAACTGGTGATCATTTCTAATGAACTTTTGACTTTCTCCAAGTAGATCTAATTGAGGTAGGCTGTATGGGTTTATCTATACCACCTCTTCCCTCTCCTGGAGAATCCTTTTCTTTTATCTAATCTGACAATCCTTGCCATATCTACAGAGTATTAATCATATCCATAGGACTAAGTCAAATGTGGTTTACATTACAGCCATTTCACTGTACTTTTGAGGAGAAAGACAACATCCTTTCCAAGCATATTGTATTTAAATGGATTTGTAGAGGAATATATAGTAAAGGTTATGTAAAGGAAAGATTATGATGGTGTTTTGGCTGTTATGATAAACTTTTATCTTAAATATCCCCTATAAAACACTTAAAAATTACCACTCCATCTTCAGTGTGAGTGAAAACTTTTATTTTCCAAATGTCATACGCAGTAAGGTATAACAGGTTTCACAGGCCAGAAAATTGGAAAAACTGAGACTGTAATTCCCAGGTACCTAGGTATTTCTATCTGAAAGGAAAGAATACTTTCAGTGAAGGTCCTGATAGCTATGTATTACTAATTTGTTTGCAGTGTTAGTAAAATTTGCCTTGGAAATAAGTATGGTTACTAAAATAGCAAGTTGGATTACAGTTTATATGTCATTTACTTTATCACCAAAAAATATATCTTACACACCATAATGTGTTCCCCTCTGCCAGGGGAACACATTATGGTTGTTAGCAACCTTAATCCAGAGATGCAGAAATGGGAAGCCCCATTTCTGAATGTGAGGACATATTATCTATTAAGGACCAAGAAGATAATGTTATTCATTGTCATAAAAAGACT